CTATTGCTCAGTGGGAGTTAGCATCGTTAGACTGAATCTGTGCATAACTGGATACTGGAGCGTCAACCCAGGGCCTCTCCACTCTCTCCAAGTTCACGGCCTTCCTCCTCAGCTTTGGTGGGCAGAGAAGGGCACCACAGCCGTGTGCACGTTCATATCCCCAGAACCTGCGACTATTGAAAGGGAAGGGGTTCTGCAGAGGTATCTGGGAGAAGGATCCGAGACAGAGAGATCATCCTGGAGGATCCGGGTGGGTCTAGCAGAATCACAAGGGCTCTTTTTTTTTTTTTTTTAAAGATTTATTTATTTATTTGAAAGAGTTACACAGAGAGAGGAGAGCCAGAGAGAGAGAGAGTGAGGTCTTCCTTTTGCTGGTTCACTCCCCAATTGGCTGCAACGGCCAGAGCTGCACCGATCCGAAGCCGGGAACCTGGAGCTTCTTCCAGGTCTCCCACTTGGTACAGGGGCCCAAGGACTTGGACCATCTTCTGCTGTTTTCCTGGGCCATAGCAGAGAGCTGGATGGGAAGTGGAGCAGCCAGGTCTCAAACCAGCGCCCATTTTGGATGCCAATGCTTTAGTTCTGGGCGTTATAACCCACTGCACCACAGCGCCGGCCCCATCACAAGGGTTCTTATAAGAGGGAGGTGGGAGAGCCGAAGCCAGAGAGAGAAGATGTCTGCACAGAAGCAGAGGTCAGCAGAGAGAGGTGTGTGTGTCTGTGGCTTTGAAGGTGTGAGGAAGGGCCCCTGGGCCTGGCGAGGAAAGCAGGCAGCCCCTGGAAGCTGGAGGAGGCCAGGACACGGGTCCTCCACTGGAGTCCCCAGACAGAGCACAGCCCTGCCCGTGCCCTGATTGCAGCCCAGCGCGTCCCGTTGTGGAATTCTGCTTTCCAGAACTGTAGGGTAGTACATTTGTACTGCCTTAAGCCTCTGTGCTGCAGTCGTTTATCATGGCAACAATAGGAAGCGAAGGCGTCACTGTTGGTCCCCGCTGACCTGACTCCATATAGGCCTTTTCTAAGACTAAGCACCTCATGTTTATTGGGAATTTTTTGTGATGTACACAGAAGATACATATATACGAATTAGGCAAAAGATAAACCGAGACCCTGTTCTTGCCTTTGGATGGGACAGACGTGGTGATTTGCTCTCCAAATGCTAGCGGTGGGTTCCTTCATTCAGCAGTTCTTTGTGGGTGCTGCAAGTTCAGAAATGAGTAGGATCTTGTCCTCACTCACGTGTGGCCGAGTGCCTGAGCCAGCCACTGGATTCCGTGGATGTTCTATCACACCAGAGCTCTCGCAGATGTCTTTCCTGTCTGTGGCTAAAGCTGGTTTCTTCTGAAGACTAGTTTCCTGTTCAAACTTGCTGATTTTTTTTTTTTTTAAGTTCTAGCAAGGGTTGGAGAGAACCTCAGATATGATTAAGCGCTTCTACAGTTTGACCTATTTTTAGGTGCCTGTGTCCCAGGGTGCAGCAGTGGTTCCAGCAGAGTCCTGGGATCCACAGGATGTCATCTGCCTCCCGCCCTCGCCACCGGGGCACCAAGACACTGCTGTTGGGGCGTTTTTCTCTGTGGTTCTCTTTTTCTTCTCCTCTGTAGAGCTTCCTGCAGAGGCACGGTGGTGTCGCGTGTCACGACATCTGGGAGCTTTGGGCTTTCCTGGGGATGGATGCCATCTATGGAAAAGATCTGGGAAGGGAACAGAAGTCGTGGAGCTGGGGAACTGACCTTCAGTTCTGCAGCCTCTTAGCTCCAGTGAAGCATGGCTGATCCATGGAGCTGCCCTGGGCTCTCAGTACTGGTGCTAGGTCAGTAGGGTGTGCAGCTCCATCCCCATGGTACCAGTTAGTTCTAAGCTAAGAACCAAAATTTGCAAACCAGCTGTAAACCCTAACACTCATTGGATGTGTAGAGAAGGGAGTTAGGTGTAGTGTTTGCTCTAGGCTTGTCTCTGCTCCTTCCCAGCTCTTGGTCTGTAATGAGTGCCCTGTAGCTGAGTGGACAAATGCATAGATGCTGGATATTCAGCCAGGGTTCCAGTTCTACTTACTAGTGGTGGAATGTGGACAGATTACTTAAGGTATGAATTGAGGGGGATGATGATATCAACACAGCTGGGCATATCGGGAGGACTGGATGAGTTAATGTGTGCAGGGAACTTGTGCCGATACCTGGTATATCATGAGCTCCAAGCAAGGGCTTATTTTTTTTTATTTTAATATTACTTATTTGAAAGGTAGAATGACAGAGAGAAGTGGAGAGAAAGAAATAGATCTTCCATCTGCTGACTCACATCCCAAATGGCCACAAAAGCCAAGGCTGGGCCAGGCCAAAGCCGGGAGCCTGGAATTCCATCCGGGTCTCCCACGTGGGTGGTGGGGGCCCAGGGATTTGGGCCATCTAATGCTGTCTTTTCAGGTGCATTAGCAGGAAGCTGAACTGGAAGTAGAGCAGGCAGGACTAGAGCTGGCACTCCCAAATGGGATGCTGGTGTCCCAGGCTGTTGCTTTAACCCCGCTGCGCCATGTCGCCACCCCCTTGTCGTTCTTTAAACATGGTTTGCCAGCATTTTATGTGACTGCGTGTTATTCCACTGCATGGCAGTGTTCTTGGTTTACTCAACTAAGCCCCTATCATGGGATTTTACCTCCAGTTTTTCACTGTTGTAAAACAGTGTTTTAGGACTGCCCTCACCGATGGGGATTTTCTTCCATCCATTATTATTTTCTCAGGTTAAATTTCTAGGATTAGAGTTGCTGAGTCACAGAGCACGCATATTTGTAATAAGACTTCTCTTGCAAAATGCTTACCAAATTTTCCTCCAGGAAAGTACTAGTTTACATTCCCAACAGCAGCGAGAGAGCACGCCAATTTTCTTAGGTGGCTAAGTTATTAACTTTTAATCAAATGAAGGCCCAGGAAAAATAGGAGATATTTCCTTAGGGAGAAAGTGTTCCTCATCCTTGCTTAGAAGCAATAAAACCTTAGCAATAAAAACCCAGGGAGAGGCCAGAGTGTGCCGGTAGAGCATGTCAGCATCGCGCCCCCTACTGGCTCTCCGTGGTACAGCAGTGTGAATCACTGCCGCTGGAAACAGGAAGGTGGTCCTGTTGTGGGCAGGAGCCAGGGGGTCAAGGACGCTTTCAAAACATGTCTGGTCACTGACAAAACCTGCCTTGGATAACATTTAGTTCCTGCTCAGGTTTTGTTCTCAGCAGGCAGACGGGATTTGCCCGCCAGGTTAATATCTGGAGACACCTTGGGGTGTCAGTTCCGGAAGCGGGATGGAGTAGGGAGCCCCGCTTCTGCCTTTAGTGAGTAGAGGTCAAGGGTGCAGCTAAGCATGTCACAATGCACAGGACAGCCCTACAGCAAACAGTCGTTTGGTCCAGAACTGAATGTGTGTATGTGCGCATGTGCAAAAAGTCCGTGGAAGTGTGCACTGTGAAAAAACTGCATAGATTTCAAGACTTTTTGCAACAAAATGCACTCATCTTTGAATTCCAGCTTCCCATGAACTTCTGGAAGTATCCCCATAGTAGTCAAACTGAGAGACCCTGTTGTGGGGAATGGAAACATTTTGCCTGAAACTCCTCTGCTTACACTGAAATAAAACGAAGAAATACTAATAGGCACTATCTGTCGCTCTTAGTGTTATCTGGTTGTAGAAACCTGTTTTGCCGAATAAAATGGAAAACACGTGGGACCGAAACACCGAGTTGGCATTTCTGGAAGGGCAAGCAGAGGAAGACTGAGCCCACAGATATGAACAACCTGAGAGGCAGTGGAGTTTGGTACCGTGGCTTGGCCAGACCTGCCAGACATTCCTCCGGGTTTTCCCTCATCTGTTAGAGAGCGTGCTTCGTTTGCCGCGTGCCCCCAATTTCACAAGCACCCGGGTTTTGCTCGTTTGCATAGTGGTGCTTCCAGAGTTGCACGCCACGTGACCATCTGTGCTTCTCATTCCCCACCCCACCCCACCCTCCCGTAAAAGCATCATCTCTGGGAGGGGGAGGAAGAGACGAACTTGCAAGAAATCATCTCAGAGAAGGGTGTGCCTGCTGGGAAAAGCATGACAAGAATTTCAGAAGAAGCGAACTGCCGCAACTTCCCATGTATCTGCTGAGCTCCAAGACCTGTCTCTCCCTCGTGTCCCCTGGCCCCTTGGAAAATACGCCGTTTCATTTTGCTGTAGCCTTGCTTTTCTCCGAACAGCCTGTGTTCTGGAACATGTATCTTGAGATAATTAGCTGCTGCAAATCATGGCAACAAGATTGTTTTTCCAGAAAAGGTGGGCAGGAGTGACAGCTTTTCGCCAAATATCAGACACCTCTTTGATCCTCTTCCATGAGAAGTATTTTTCAAACTGTGTATAAGTCAAGACTCATCCTGGGGCCGGCGCCGTGGCTCACTTGGTTAATCCTCTGCCTGTGGCACCGGCATCCCATATGGGCGCCGGGTTCTGGTCCCGGTTGCTCCTCTTCTCTGCTGTGGCCTGGGAGGGTAGTGGAGGATGGCCCAAGTGCTTGGGCCCTGCACCCGCATGGGAGACCAGGAAGAAGCTCCTGGCTCCTGGCTTCAGATTGGCACAGCGCCGGCCGTAGAGGTCATTTGGGGAGTGAACCAATGAAAGGAAGACCTTTCTCTCTGTCTCTCCCTCTCACTGTCTGTAACTCTACCTGTCAAAATAATAAAAAAAAAAGACTTATCCATGGATTGTCGGGTTGATTTCCAGATCACAACCAGCACTGCTAAAGCACCCCAAACAGAAACTATTGGAGTATGACACACAGTTAAGAGTCACCTTAGCTTTGGTGTAGACAGCTATGTCGCCGTACATGTGTGTATGCATATGTGTGAGTGCATGTTCACGATGAGATGTTTGAAAGGCTCTGGCTTAGGTGGACAGCGGGCTGAAATCTGGCTTGCTTGTAGAAATCTCAGGGAGCCCTGCTCGCTCCTCCTCCCTCACCACGGCCTCTGTTACTGTCCTAGGTGGAACCAGGGAGATCGGGTCTGCGCTCACCAGGATGTGCATGAGGCACAGGAGCATAGAAGCCAAGCTGAGGCAGTTTTCCAGGTGAGAGCCTGTTGCACCCCATCCCCGACACCCTTGCTGATTCCAGATGAAGGAAGCAGTCAGTGTACAGGACATACCTACCTCGTGTGGGCCAGCCCCTGTCTCCCTACGGCCCGTCTTTTGCTCGTCTCTGCTCATTCACTGAATAAGCACTTGTTGGGCACCTGCTGGGTGCTGGAAGCTGCTGTGGGCTCTAGAGAGGCAACAAGAGTGGGACGGCCAGGTCCCTGCCCTCAACGAGCCTGCCACTCCCCTCTGATCACCCTGTACTCCCTGTGTGGGTCTCTCTGCCTTGGGCAGTTGAGCAGCTGGCGCATCCTGCTGGGACTCCTGGGCCCCGTCCACCCTGTGGGAGTGCCCAGAGTGAGATACGCCAGGCTGTGCTGGCCCCCAGGCCTGTGTGCTTCCCCCAGACCTACTGAGGAGGCAGTGGTGGTCACAGAGCCTTCCACACCGCCAGCTTCGGGCCTGGCTTCCAGGCCTTCAGGGTGGGGAGAAGTGGCAGTGGCTGGCTGGGGACTTGCAGTCGCCAGTGTTTGGATGGAAGCGGACCTCGCTTTCAAGGTGATCAGCATCATTCCAGCAGGGTCACACAGCCCCTACAGGGAGGCTGCACCAACTGGGGGCTGCGCCCAGAGGGGCCTTCACCCCTCTCCGACCCAGAAGCAGACAGTGCGGCCGGAGAACTTTCTGGCCTATTCATTCTTCCCTTTCTCCGGGCTCCAATTAGTGTGTTCATGACTTAAAGTTCTGGGTGCCTGTCAGAGCCTCATGGTCTCTATTAGGCCTAATGTCTTTGCCTGCTGTGCAGCCAGGGGGTTGAGGTCGGAGGTCCCACACCTTGGCTTGTGAATGCAATAGCTGGGAAATCCTGGGACGTGGGAAGCCGGCTCGCTCCAGCCAGTCACGTTGGTAACTTCTTAATTTCATTGCAAAGTGTTCTGAGAAGAAGGCTAAGGGCTTTCGATATGAACATCCTCTTATTATGCTGCCTGTGTTGGCTTGGGCGATTGTGATTTAGGTCTGTTGTGACAACCAAATGTACATCTTGACAATGGAATGTATCTGTTTAATTTCTCCTTTTCTTTCTCTTTCGGCGAAAGTGCTTTAATTGATTGTCTGATAAACCCACTTCAAGAACAGATGGAAGAATGGAAGAAAGTGGCCAACCAGCTGGATAAAGACCATGCAAAAGGTACAGGGGCCGAGGTCGGGCGCCTTATAGTGCTCCAAGAAGAGCTGTGGATGCCGCTGGCTGCTGCCTCTGCTGGGTTTATTGGTGTCACCGAAACAGCTAAAGGCCTGTCGTGTCCCTGCTTCTCGTGTAGGCCTGTCAGAGTCAGGGGATGAGGAGTCCAAAGCAACTTTGCAGGACTGAGAGCTGTGTGTGTGGCATGAAGCGGCTGATTGCTTGGCCGCGGTAACTGTGTTCATTTGAATGCGAGGGGAAAGCCAATGGCAGGTGTAAATGCCACGTGCTCACGGAAGGCACTTGAGCACATTTTGATAACCACACATCCAGTGACATAAGCTCACCCTGGGTGGCCTACTTGGAGCTGGCCCTTCTCCTTGTGTGTTGTCTGTGAACTGGTTTAGTTAGTCGTGGGGGACCCTGACTATATGAGATCGGGGTCACCAGCAGAGGAGATCACAGGGCTGCTGTATCCAGTGGGAGCGTTTCGTGTTCCCCTTGCACAAGCCCGGAAGACTGCTGCGTGCTGGGTTCCCATCCCGTGTTCAGGTCATGCTGGTATTTTCATATGCAAGACATTGTAAGAGCTACAGAAAGACGAGTGCGGTGTCTACCAACAGTGACACAGTGACCTTATTCGAGGGCAAAGTGAAATAAAGGCTTCAAGAAAGACAGTGTTCTGGAACTGGGGTTGGTCCAGCCGCATTCCGGAAGCTGTCGGTAGCCGCTGGGAAGTTGTACTACGTTCCCTGCAATCATCCGTCCCTGCCTGCACTCCTGCACCTGCAGCTGTTGAGCCCCTGCCGTGTCCCGTGCCTCTGCAGACACCGGGGCCAGAAAAGGAACAAGCGGATGTCAGTTTTTGGTGCATATTCTTTAACATTTGTTAATCATAGACTGTAGGCGCCCATAGTCAAGTCTTCATTGTCATTGGAAATCAGTCTTGGGCAGAACTTCAGCAAACCATTATGATGAAAGAACAAGAAATGAAGATGGCTTGTTGACAGTGAGATTCGGAAATGTGGGTATAATAGCCAGTTATTTAGCTGTTATGTAAAAAAGTTAATATTAAATTGATCACAGATACTACACTTGATCTTAGCCAAAAGGCCGAGAAGCGATGTAAAAAAGTTAATATACCCGGTTGCCCCTCTTCCAGGCCAGCTCTCTGCTATGGCCAGGGAGTGCAGTGGAGGATGGCCCAGGTGCTTGGGCCCTGCACCCCATGGGAGACCAGGAAAAAGCACCTGGCTCCTGGCTCCTGCCAGGATCAGCGCGGTGCGCCGGCTGCAGCGGCGGCCATTGGAGGGTGAACCAACGGCAAAGGAAGACCTTTCTCTCTCTGTCTCTCTCTCTCACTGTCCACTCTGCCTGTCAAAAAAAAAATAAAAAAAAAAAAAAAAAAAAAAAAGTTAATATAAAATCTTTTATACCCACTACCTCAAATTTTTAAAATGATAAATTCATCTTTAACAGAAAAAATGGCATCCTAAATCATGTATTTTGTTTAAAGGTATTTTTAAACGTTCTTTTTAAATATCTAATTTCTGGCCCACCTGGGACCTCGCACTTATATTTGGTGCCTAAGCGTGGGGGTACAGCGGGTGAGGATGCAGAGAGAAAGGTGGATCCGAGGATCCCACAACGTGCAGGGAGGGTGTGAAGAGAAGGCGGGCCGTGATCTGGAGAGAGAAAGGGTGAGCCCACAGGGCCTTGCTGGAGCCTGTACGTGGGCTCAGGGACGGTGGGAGGGAGACCTGAGGGATGGCAGCAGGGGAACTGGTTCGGGCTGGCAGTTAGTGAGCTCTGAGGACAGCCAAGAGGTGTCAGAGGTGACAGTGCCTGCAACCGAGATGGGGAATTCCGGGAGCGGGCTGGTGGGGACGGAGGAAGTGGTCAGCGTGTGTGTGTGTGTGTGTGTGTGTGTGTACATGGGCCTCCCCTCCTCCGTGTCCCCAGCGTCTGCCACAGGGTTCATGGTAAACGTGAGGCTGCTGGGTTGCCCGGTTTTCTCCCGTGTGTTGTGCTTTCTGCAGCCATAGTCTGAGGAACTCTTAGCCCAGCCAGATCTTCCCCGCCTGGCTCATCTTTTTTTTCCCCTTAAATCAAAGTGCTATGGATTTGGACCTTGGAAAAGTTAGATAACACTGGAAATCCTTCCCAACACTTGAGCTGAGAAATTGACTTGTTTCCTTTTGATGAACACATTCCCAAATGCTGTCTTTCCTCAAAGCTGGCACTGTAGGGAAAGAACATAGCACAATTTGTTGTTTTTCATTTTAATAGCCCCTTTGTGGGTGAAATGTCCTCGTGAGATTTTTTTGGGCATATCATATTCCGATAAAGCTGTTTACTGCATGTCCTACTTGATGCTTCCTGTGATAATGGTTGCCCCTAAAATACTTTCCGTTGAACACACTGGTAAAATTATTCAATATTCTGCTTTCTCTTAGAATATAAGAAAGCTCGCCAAGAGATAAAAAAGAAGTCCTCAGATACGCTGAAACTGCAGAAGAAAGCGAAAAAAGGTAACTCCCAGAATCCTGCCCCTGACATTGAACCTTGAGAAAAAGTGAGCAGGTGGCTTGATCTGTCTTTGAAGCAGGCAGTGTTGAGTTCATATACTTCCGTGGGTGTGGTGGCCCTGGAGAGCAGATGGGAGCCAGAGAATTGATCTGGATCAGGGTTTGCCAAGTGCAGAATACATAGGAGCTCAGAGGCCTTCCACAGTAGCACTTGGCCTACTCCTCGTCCTACCCTTGTCCTCAAACTCTGATGGTCTCCGTGCCCAACGTGCTTAGGAATGAAACCTCTAACTTTCCTGGACGCTTTGGGGCCATGCAGCAAAGCCTCTGTGCAGATATTCGGCAGTGATAATTCCGGAAGTCATGCCATTTGCTCCTCCTGCGATCACAGCCTCTAGTCTCCACAACCCTTCACTAAAGTGTGTGCGAGTGTTGGAAAGGGCTGCAGTGGGAGCCAGACTCATCGGGTGGAGCTTGGTGAGGCACCACCGAGGAGGGTTGCAGGATGACCCTGCACCTGCCCGCCTCGTTGTCATCCCTTGCAGATCAATGCATTGTCGCATCCTCTACAGTGGGCTGGGAGTTGGAAGAGAAGCGTCGGGTCACATCCAGTTGGCAGGCATGTTACATTTTACTGTGACCTCAGATGTAGGGACACTGTCAGAGAAAGTGACCTTCCGTCCAGACTGTCCTTCTTGCTACCAGGTTGCTACTCTGTTGCATCACGATGGCTAAGGTGGGCCTCTGGCCAGGATGCTCTGGGGGTGATGTGTAGCGTGAATTGGGAACAACTTCCTTTTCAGAGAGAGAATTCCCTCACCCCAAGCCAGATTCTCCCTTTCCTAAACAGGCTGCTTGTATTTGGAATTGAAAGAAAATACATTTGGAGAGAGAATGGTGGAGAGTGGTAGGGAGAAGGTGGCAGGGCAAAGTTATTTAAGTATTCTTTTTCAAAGATTTATTCACTTATTTGAAAGAGCAGCAGCAGCAAAGAGAGAGAAGGGGATGGAGGGAGAGAGAGACTGACAGACACAGTAAGAAAGATCTTCCTTCTAATGGTTCATCTGGCAACAGTCGGGTCTGGGCCAGGTCAAAGCCAGGAGCCTTGCGCTCCGTCCTGGTCTCCTACATGAGTGGCAGGGGCTCAGGCACTTGGGCCATCTTCCACTGCCTTCTCAGGTGCATTAGCAGGAAGCTGGATCAGACGCAGAGCAGCCAGGACTGGCCCCAGAGCTCCAGTATGGGAGGCTGGCGTCCCAGGTGGCGGCTTAACCTGCTGCACCACAATGCCGGCCCCAAGACAGGTTTTAATCTTTGACATTAATAAAAAATGGCCCTGCTGCCCCGCCTGCCAATTCTCACAAAGCTTAAAAAAAAATTGCAAGATAAGAACTTTGGCGCACCACAAGGGTTTCCATCCGTATTGGCTCCTGGACTTTGTTTTGGGTGTAGTTTTCTGGCCAGGTGCTTCTCGGATTTGCATTCTGTCTAATTAGGACAGCTGGCAGTACCTGTTTGACAAGTACTAGGCCATGTTAGTGAATCTAGAGGTGAAGGTTTATGAATACGATTGCCACCATATTGCAGCAAATCCGGGAAGCGTGCTGGGCAGGACTGGGAGCTAAGCTCCCCGCGGCTGGCGGATTGGCTGCTGGGAGACAGCAGGGTCTGGGGAAGTGGTCCCGGGAGACGCCTGGGCTTGGAACAGGATTGGAGTGGAAAGGCAACAGCAGCTCTTTTCCCTGAGCTCTTGAAGAGCTCTCTTTCTAAAGTCAGTGGCACCGTCCAGTTAGCAGAATGTGCACTTCTGGGTGAAGCCTGGTAGGTTGATTGCAGTGTCCCCTGGCAATGGAGCCTGCTCAGCACTGGCTCAGGCTGCCAGGGGATAATGAGCTCCCATCAAGGTGCCGGGGACAAGGGTTGGGGACACAGAGGATGCTGGGCTGCGCCCAATGGGAAGAGATGCCACCTGTGGCCCTGGGACTTGGGAGTCATTGGCATTGGGTTGTGAGGTTTTTTGAGATATTTGGGCTGGAAGCCTGGGGGATGGAGTCCTAAAGTGACTACTAGCCATAGCCATAGCCACAGACCCAGCAGCCTCCAGCATCAAGTCCCCCACCCCTTTTCTTTTTCAAGATTTATTTATTTGAAAGGCAGAGTGACACAGAGAATGACAGAGAGAGTCAGAGATATCTTCTGTCTACTGGTTCACTCCCCAAATGGCCAGGCCATAGGCCTGGAGCTCCCTCCGGGTCTCCCACTTGGGTGGCAAGATCCCAAATACTTGAGCCATCTTCTGCAACTTTCCCAGGTGCGTTAGCAGGGAGCTAGATCTGAAGTGGAGCAGCTAGGACTCAAATGGGATGCCAGTGTCAAGGCTTAATTCACTGCACCTTGACACCAGCCCCTCCATGTGCTTTCTAGATGGTGTGCTAATGTCTACAAGAGCAGTCAGATCAGGAACTTAGAATGTGGTGGATGATTTTTCTCCTTACTTCAAGGTAGAACCAGAAGACACTTTGTATCTCTTTTATAAAAGAATTTCTTTCCAAAATGTCTAAGTGCATTTTCTGATGAAGAGCTCGTATGTGCCTATTTCTGGGGTGAATATAGCCTTCTAGGAGATACCAGAGCCACCATTCTGACTCTTGTTGTAGAGAGCTCTCCCACCTGAGAGTGGAATGGCAACGCCACAGCTCAGGGCCTGGGAGAAATCTGGTTCCTTGAGGCTTTCCGGTGTTTAGGGGTCTGGTTAGCGGAAGTTTTCCTTGATGCTAGAAAACTCCTAAGTCATCTGTTGGATCTCCTTCCCGTGGTGGTTCTTGGCCTCTTAGCACATGCACTCATTCACAGGTGCCGGCAGCCCTTACATCAGGTTTTAGGTTGGACAGAGGCTTTCAATGAGTTATTTTTCAGCCAGATAAGCACTTCCTTCTTCCCACGTCTGTGGGAGACTCCCGAGCAGCAGTTTCCTGCCAGGCCTTTTACAAACACTGTGGTGTTGAATCTACGAGCTTCTTCTGTCTCTGCAAATCTCTGGTGCCTTTGCACCTGTAGGCGTGGTTCTGGCACTATCCTTGATGGGAGGTGATTTTTGCGAGTGGCTCATTTCCCTGACTTCTCCCTCTGCACACAGCACCTATGTCTCCGTCTTCACTGGACTCTTCTTTTGTAACAGAAGGGGTTAGTTTGTCATCTGAAGGTACTGAAATATTCCCTAAGGAACAACTGTAAATGTTTTATCTGTTCTTAGGATATATCTGAAGGTCATTTGAAAGCAGTCTGGGATATGTTCCTGCAGTGGGTGCATGTATTTTTCTTAGAGACAGGCTCATTAGATGCCTCTTAGGAATACACCTGAGGCAGGGAGGTGACATGGTCCCTGCCTTTAGAGGAGTCTGGTCCACGGCGCAGGGCTGTGGCAGCCCTGTCACCTGGTCCGGAGAGCGAAGGTAGCGGGAAGCTGTGGAGATGATGTAGGTCCTGACGGTGTCTCCTACGCCCCCTCCTGCTGCTCAGCCAGATGTTGGGAGTTGGAGTTCCCGCAACCCGGACATAAGACAGACCCAGAAATGGAGGACTTTGTACATTGTTTTCCTCCTTGTGCCTTTTCCCTAGATATTTTCCGAGTTAGGATAAATCGCTTTAGCGTCTGAGCTGGTCTGCTCTGTGTGTGTAGTCCCTGCCTCCGTTTACAAATCCTTGCCCTATTCTCTAAGGGCGGATGATCGCTGTGTAGGAGAGGGCTGCATGGGTAAGAAGGAAAGACCGTTAGGAAGGCGGGAGAGTGGACCTTGGAGGCCGGCTCTCGGTGATGTGGATACAGTGGCCTTCACATACAGTCTGGTGGCAAGCCACGGACCGCTTAACCCGTGAAGGGAAGGTGGGACTGCCGCTGCCCGAATACCAGCTTGACATGACTGTTTTCCTTTTTGTGTCAATTGTGTATCCTGCCTTTCTCACCGTGCGCCCCCGCCAGTGGATGCTCTCGGTAAGTCTTCCGTGCTGAGTCTCTGGTGGCTGGTCACGGTGTGGGCCTGCGTGGGCTTTCCATGGTTGTCCGACCCCTTGCTGGCTGCCCAGGTTTTCCTACCAGCTCAGATCAATCACTTGTGCCTGTTTAATTTTGCATCCCTTTAAAACAAATCGTGTGTGTGTGTTTTAATCATTGCCCTTCTTGGATGTTTGGCCATTAAAAGTGTGAGCACAACATTCTATGAGCCTTTGGGTCATCGTGATTCAGTCTTAGACTCATGGGAAAAAGAAATACAGAGTGATCAAAGCCCTCCTTTGTGCAGGAAATGACTACATACATAGATATGAGTGCATTCATGTATGCATGTGTGTTCTTATACCACAGAAGTCATATCAAGGTGTAGTCTACATAATGCCTCAAAATAATACCCAAATCAGATTTGGTCATCTTAAGCTTGCAAAATAGCTTTAACTGTGTCCACCCATGATCATATCGTTCTTTCCAAAATCGGAAATTCCTTTAAAAAAAAATCGGAAGTATTACTTATTGCAGCAGAGTTTGTGAAATGTTTCCCTCCGAAAGTGTCCGATCTCCAGTCCTCAGATGATTCCTCCTGAGCGAGTGTTGAGTGATCACGCTGCTCGGCTTCACGCGGCTTCGCGGTCTTGCTGCTGTCGCTGTGTCTGGGGAAGGCCTGCCCATGAGGTGTCCGCGTGGTTTATCTCGCTTGAGTGTGCCCAGCTCTTCTCTGTGGGGTCTACTGAACGGTTCCAGAGAGGTTTCTGAATCCGATTCAGTCCGCACAGGCCTCCTCTGTCGGGTTGGGGTCAGGTGAGCTCACGGTCTCGGGGCATGCGGGCCGGCCTCCTGTCCCCTCATGGTGATGGTGGCCCGCTTGTCCCCTGCCTTCGGAACAGTGATGCTTTGCAGCTCCCAACACTGTGACTTGGAACGGTTTTTAGCAAACTTTTGGAAGGAAGATAACACATAGGCACTTTTTGCTTATTGCAATAAAAGTCACATAAGAGCATGCATCATTTTAATGGGAGCTGTGTGTGTCCGTGGCTGTTGGTGCGTTCACAGCATTACGCGGCCATCACCCTTGTCTCACTTGACCACGTTTTCATCACCCTACAAAGACAGCCCATGCCCGTGCAGCAGTCATCCCCCAGCCGCTGGCCCCTGGCGGCCCCCCCATCTGCTGTCTGTTGTCCGGATTTGCCTACTGTGGACGTTTCATAGGGATGGACTCATACAGAATACGACTCTCTTAGAAGGGTCTCTTGATGCTTGAGCTCAATGAGAGCTTGGCACAAGTCAGCCAGCGGAGCAAATGGAGCATTCGCTTGGTTTAAAATGAGGGGAGGTAGGTTCGGAACCCATGAAGAAACCACAAACTCTGGGCCTTGGAACTTCCAGAGAGTCTGCTCCCCTTCGCCCAAGAGGAATCACTGTAGCCCCTTTAACTTTTTCACTCACCAGGGCTGGTGTGTAGCGCCAAGTCCCAGTGAGTGACAAGAGGGGACTTCCAAAAGTTCAGGGAAAAGAGAATGCAAAGGTAAGTGTATTTGGGTGCAAAAAAAAAAAAAAAAAATCGAAACCATGCATAATTTTTCGCCACTCCACATTTCCGTGAGCTTTTTGAAGAACCCTCTATGTCTGGCTCTTTTAGTTCTGTGTTTCCACAGTCGTTTTGAAGTTCCCTTGAATGTCCACGGCAGTGAATACAGGTGTAGAGGCAGAAGGAGAGCCGAATGGTTTGAAGCCCTCGCTAATATTTTTAATAAGCTTTAAATAATTTTTAAGCTTGGAAATCTGTATCTCAACAAAGTTTCATGATAGTTAAAATATTTTGGTTTAATAAGAAAAAATATACACACACACGTGTATGTGTGCATACGCACCAGGGGTTTTCAGAAAGTTCTTGGAAAATGTATGTTAAGAAGAAACTATGCATGGATTTCAAAATTGTTTTTCTTCAACATAAGCATGTCTTGAAATTCCACTTTTCCGTAAACTTTTTGAAGTACACTCCTTTTTCTCCCTTGAGCGAGTTAGCATGATTTACCTTGAACCGCGGTCCCTGCCTGCCTGGGGCCGGGGGCAGGGATTCACTGCCCAGGGTAAACGTGTGGAGCCTGGGAGGAGGATTGCTGCATCCGAGGAACTTAGACTTGGCAGCTACTTCGCTCTGGTGTGCTCGGCCCTGTGATGCACGCAGCGCACGGTGGAGCAGGGCAGCGAGGAAGGGCCCTCGCTGAGCTTGGGGGGTGGGGGTGTAGGACCCCAAAAGCGGTGTCCTCTTGTGATGACCCCAGAAACACAGACTCCGGACCAGACGATGCAATAGAACAGGAGGTAATTTTATTTCATTTGTACAAATGGGCCCCCTACTGCTGCAAGCAGCAAGCAAGTGAGAGGAGCCCCGAGCAGCTATCTCACACAGCTTTTAAAGGGCAAAACCACAAAATTAACATATTATAGGCTGGCGTAAGTTCATTGGATAATTTTCAGTAGCGGGCCTTGTATGGCAGTCTGAAGTGGTAATGTCGGTGGAAAAGTACTAGGTCAAAGGGATACATTAGGGGAGGGGGTCTCTAGGAGAGAGGAATAGGTTGCTACATGCCTTGCAGCTTTCTTTGTTAACCTTGAGCAAGTGTAGGGAAGGGGCTTATCTACAAGGCAGGTGTTCTGTGTATCTCTGGTCAGTAGCTGACTGCTTTCTCTGTGAACCGGTTTACTCCCCATTTCCCAAGGCCGTCTCTGGAACGGTTTGTCTTCAGGAGCCCCATTTTTTTTATGGTGGCTCTTGGCTCCTTTCAGGGGGTCTCCTGAGAGTGAGGAGGACAAGGGTCGGCTGGTGTACAGGGAGGTGGTATTCGGGGCACAGGGAACAGCGCACACCAAGATGGGTCAAATGCCATCATTATTTAGAAATAGCTGTGAAAGGTAGCCCGGCACAGGGGGCGCCCTGGGGCGGAGTTGATGTGATGCCCTGGCGTCTGCCTTCCAAGGGGGGACGACACTCATCTGAGAACTGCGGTGACACCCCACCACTCCGCCTAGTACCGCCCACCTTGCCTGCTTCCCAGTGGTTCTGGGCCTCCTTTAAGATTTATGTACTGGCAGACCAGCGCCCGTGGTTCACTAGGCTAATCCTCCGCCTTGCGGCGCCGGCACACAGGGTTCTAGTCCCGGTCGGGGCGCCGGATTCTGTCCCGGTTGCCCCTCTTCCAGGCCAGCTCTCTGCTGTGGCCCAGGAGTGCAGTGGAGGATGGTGCAGGTCCTTGGGCCCTTCACCCGCATGGGAGACCAGGAGAAGCACCTGGCTCCTGGCTTCGGATCAGCGCAGTGCGCCGGCCACAAATGCACTAGCCGTAGCAGCCACTTGGGGGGTGAACCAACGGAAAAAGGAAGACCTTTCTCTCTGTCTCTCGCACTGTCTAGCTCTGCCTGTCAAAAAAAAAAAAAAAAAAAAATTATGTGCTGGGACCAGCATTGTAGCCCAGTAGGTAAATCTGCCTGCAACACTGGTATCCCATATGGGTACTGGTTCAAGCCCCGGCTGCTCCACTTCCTATCTGACTGTCTGCTAAAGGTCTCTCTCTCTCTCTCTCCCTCTTCTCTCTCTCTCTCTCTCTGTCCCTGTCCCTCTGACTTTCAAATAAATCTTTAAAAATTTTAACAAGTGAAGATTTGTGTACTTATTTGAAAGACAGAGTGACAGCAGGCGGCAGGGAGCTCTTCCATCTGCTGCTTCACTCCGCAGACGGCCACAATGGCCAAGGGCTGGGCCAGGGCTGGGCCAGGCCAAGGCCAGGACTCTGGAACTCCATCCAGGTCTCCCACACGGGTGGCAGGTGCTCAGGCACTTGGGCCGTCCTCCACTGCCTTCCGAGGCACCTTAGCAGGGAGCTGGATCAAAATGGAGCACTGGGGACATGAACTGGCTCCCTGATGGAGCAGCCGGCATTGATACCACAACACTGCCCACCCCCCTTCCTTCCTTTGGGAAAGTCTGCTCGATGTTGAATCTTTTCCACCATGAGCATTCCCTGGCCACACCCAGCATGGGACACACCCACAGGACCACAAGGAACAGAAGCCGCTCTGTGGTTTTTGGAGAGGGATAGTCCTAGGGGCCCTCTCCCCCAGAGGTAGGGCAGTTGAGTGAAGAACAGGGAGGGTGCATCCTTCGGGGCTGCAAGGGCTGCTGGGTAAGTACAGAACGGGGAGCGGCAAGCACCAGTGGGGGAGTTTTTGACCTGCTGTGACAGTCAGGAAGCTTCCTTGCCCCGAGTGGTTTAAGCCCCAGGTCTCCTGCACAGGGCTCTTGCATTCCAGACGCAAGTTCGCAGTCCTCAGAGGCTGGTGTCTTCCTTAGCTCTACTTGCCAGCTGCGGATCCCAGGCAAAAACCGACAGACCCGCACAAGCCCGGAGCTCTGACCTCTCCTCCAGGGCAGAGGTGGTCCCTGGGACAGGGCTTGCTGCGTGCCTTGCTGGCACTGCTGGTCCCAGGAGCTGCGGCGGATGGACCCAGCATGCCTGTTTGAGTGCTGGCCACCTGGCTTCCCAGTGGCCGCATTCAGGGGCCAGGGGAGAGGTGTTTACCACGGAGGGCGGGTACTGCGGGACCCAAGCTTTTCTCAGTGTTGATTTTGACCAAAACCAAAACAAAACAGAATGAAAAGGACAACTGGCGTGGAACACCGATTCCTTGCATGCCATGGTGTCTGTCTCCAGAAAAAGTGAATGGCTGGTGCTGGGTGTGACCAACCGACAGGGCAGCCTGGCGGTCTCTGCTTCTCTCCTGTTAAAACCACAAGCATCCGTGGTATAGCAGGGCTAATTAATCCATATCTGGTGCCGGTCTTTGACTCATTTGTCAGCATTCTCCTTGGCTACCGCCAATGCCAGCCTTCATTCACTAGTCCATGTGTTCAGACATTCATTGAGGAGGCAGGTGAGAGGGACCTCCTCTGTGTAGACTCTGCTCGCTGCTATGGAGGCCAA